GGGGGGGGGGGGGGGGGGGGGTTGCGTCATTCACAACAAAAACAGAAATACAAGTTCTGATGTGTAAACAAATAGACCAAACTATTCTGGCAATTTCAAAGCATTCCTTTGCTAATAACTCTGGCTGATTTGGTGCTGTCTGCGCAATGCCGTCATCTGTGTATCAAATCACAATGTTGCCTAACGCCAGATAAGGTTGCTAGCTCCCCCATGTGTCTAGAATCAGCACACTGCTGGCAGCATTACCCCTCTCTCTTTTAGGACACAAAAGTTGGTAGAAGTCCCCTTGAACACAGTAACACATGTATAGATAGGATATGGATAGCATAGCATACGCTTTCTCTACTCAGGAAAGTGGATTTAATGAGATAAAGAGAAAAAGGTACTCACTTGTGCCTGCACTGCCAGGTGGAAAGCTCCTTTTTTGAAGGGCAGCAGGTCGCCTTTCTGGTTTCGCGTTCCCTCTGGGAACACCCAAAGACGAATCTGGGGAGGTCAAAGGACAACGGTTGGGAGGAATAACGGAATAACTTCTCCAATGTGTCAAGAATCAGAACCTTGTGACGGACTAAATGCAAAGAAAATCCCAAATAACTACGAGTAAACTTACTATGACACATGATCTACCTTTAAAAACAAAAAAAACATTGAAGTATAAGTAAGTTTGATTAAACTCCTTCCGTCATCGCAGGTAAAACTGTATCCTGTGTCGACAAACGCCGGTCTACCTGTTCGTCCAGCATGGTTTTGGCAGCGTCAGTCATGACACTCTTGGCATCGCTCGTCTTCTTGCGGTTGATAAAGACGATGCCCCCCAGCCAGCAAATGAGGCCAACCGTGCCGGCGTAGATCAGCTCCTTCTTGGCAATCATGGTGCAGCGGTCTGGTAAGATCTCCATCAGGCCTGAGAGACAAAGGATAAGAAGCTCAAGGTTTTATTTTTTTAAGAGTGTCTCAATGAGAAGCACAAATACTTCTGAACTAAAATGTGTTCCAATACATTATGTCCAAGTTAAGTCACGTCTGTCACTCATGCCTGAGTGAGTGAAGAATGGGACCACAAACATGAGAAATAAAAGTAATAGCTTAGTTTTCCAGCATATGAATTAAAATTAGCAGCAAAGGAAAGACACAGTTGGTGTTGTAGATAATACAAAACAAAAAAATAATACCTATAAATCTAGAATCACTAACTAAAATAGTGACTAGTGAAAATTAGTTACTTTAATCATTCAAATTATTTTGGAGATGACCTCTACAAAGTGTGAATAGAATTAAAAAAGTTAAATTAAAACTTTTGGAATTTCTAAAGCAAACCAAAGCACTTTGAAAATCAATAGATGAATGAAAAAAATCTCTAATTTTGTGTAAGCAGTATTACTACACTTTCAAAGTTTGAGTAGTTTGTTTTATTTGTCATTTATTCTTCTAAATTTGAAGCATTTTCCACTAAAAACTGAAACATTCGTCCTGGTAAAGTGCATGTCAACAATGAGCGAACAACTGATACCTTGATATACGATATGATAAGGGGGTGTGCTAAAAAGAAGTTACTTCCAAGAAGTGCAACTTCCATGGGAACATCTTGGGATGAGCTTTGGCCTTTGCATCTTATCTCTCCATGCCATTGTCAAAACCTCGATTTCATCATCAGGTATAACGCCTGCTGATGTTGGACAGTAATTTCACTATTGATGGGAGGTACCTCCATGAATAGCTCTTACACTATAAAATCAAGACATGTCTGATTAACCTTCGTGCAAAGGCAGCTGGTGCAGGAGACAGAGCCGTGTAAGATGTCAAACGCACACAATATTAGAGGAAAAAAGTGAAATGAATTATGGTGAACAAGAGGAAAAAGTAGACGCGTCTATATTAGAGTAAGAAAAACCGAGCAGCAGGAGCAAAATTACATCAGAGAGAGAGTGCTTGACACCTTGCACTAGCTGTGGAGGTGAGGGATCTTAGTTTGTTATCGTATCACATCAGCTCCAGGATGAGCCGCTGTTAACGGCTGGGTATATCAGTTGGCATGGCAACTTGGACGCCAAATCAGGCTCACGCTGAGTTTTCTCAGTACTAATTAGATACCTAGCTCTCCCCCTGCTGTCACTACCTTGGCCTCCAGCCTGCCCTCATCACTCACCGTCACTGAAAAACAACCTCTCCCAGGCGCTGATGGAGAGAAAACATACCTCTGCTAAATGAGTGTCCTCAACACTCAAAGTAGGAACAGGAAGAATGAGCCGACGCTAAAAGACGCGCACGCATGTGCAAAATCCTTACACAAGAAGACCAGAAACTGAACCAGAAGATAAAGTGGATGAAACAAGAATCAAAACCTTTCTACAACAGGCTCTTAACTCAATCTATACCCACTTTAAACAGTATCCTGTAAATGTATGCTTTTAATTCAGAGTGGGTCCTGTGAGGCCGGTGATGTATGAATGTTTTATTACTGTGTGTATTGATCAATGTGTTCTATGATCACCTAGGCTAAATCAAACAAAATATGGTAAAATAATATCTGCGGTTGCATGCCGCAATTTATTCTCTGTTTTATCAGACAGTCTTTGTCACAACAAAGCTGATATAATCTTACATTTGTACCGCTTTATTAGGACTACTACACTGCAATCCATGTCAGCAATCAAGACCAGGAAAGGCAGTTATTCCTAGATGAAGGAGTTTAAAGTTAGGACGTTATATTAAGTCCTGAAGGGCAGGTAGGGTGGCACCACTTATGTCTTTGGCGGTCCTGATGTTTGGTGACCAATCCAAACCAGAAAGTAAATCTGCATCTTTTTTTTTTAAATGATGAACTGTTGTTGGAGATTGCAGGACCCTGAAGGAGGTTTGCGAACTTCAACACAAATCCCTGTCACATGTAAACTCTGTTTTTCTGAATTAGCTGACTCCATGAGGAAACGGTCTGAAATGGAGCGAAAAAGGCGTGCGCGTGTGTGTGTGTGTGTTTGCACACCTATCTGCCCTACAGTAAAATACAATCAGGTCATCATCCAGTTGTGAATTGTGTACAGTGTGAGGGGACGGTTTCCTGTGTCACGGTGTCAGTGAGCTCAACCAGGTCAGCAGTCAGTGCTGCACACAAAGCAGGTACAGTATTTCAGCAGTTGACGGTTGAGGCTTTCTCCATTAAAATCCAGGATGGTGATAAGGGAGTGTACACGTGCTCTGTGCTGATTATGTGGTCAGCCAGGTGTAGTAGCATCTTGCACACACAAGCTTGAGAGGTGATGTAAACACGGACCAGAATAAAAGTCAGCTGACTTCTCAACCTCAATCCTGAGGTGATTAGATACTTTAAAGAAAAAAATCTCTGTGACATCCAACAACATTCATTCATATAAAAAGCAGATTCTGCACCCTCCTGTTTTCCCTGAAAGAAATCAGGTTTTAATGACGCACAGCGCAGCAAAGATGCAATAATACTCGTACTTCCTTTGAGCAGTAGCACCTTGTCTATTTTATTGACCAGGAAAAGGAGATTTGCCACATGCATACTCAGGAGCCGATTCAGAAATCCCCGCTGTCGGAGCTTAGATCAGATCATTGACGGTGAAAGGTTTTGTTTTCTTTGTGACTCTTGTCCCTCCAGTGCAGCATGACAATAATAAGGTCAAAGTACACGCCATATAGATGTTAACCCCCTCAAATGAAAGCTGAACGTCACCATCTGAGTCATTGTTTCATATCAGGTCCAATGTGTCACTGTCCTATTAAGTATGGACTGCATGCAATGCAAGGTCTCTGCAAACCGAAGAGAGGAAAAATGACATCTGTCGTTTTAAGAGTGGAAGCAATGTCAAAGCTATTTATCTTCATACATACAGGTACAGGGTCAGCACTCACCCAAAACATCCAGGGAGCTCTGGTGGTTGGAGATGATGACATAGGGTCCCTCTGTCTGCAGATGCTCCCAACCGGTCACTTCAAATCGAAGACCCAGGAAATACTTCACGTGACGTACCATGGAGCGGATAATCCTGAGGGGGAAAAGGTTAATTACAGTCCTGAATAAGTATAGGTTACCGTTCACAGTCATGTAAAGTGCAGTACGTAGGTTGCATATTGTTAACCAGAACCTACGTTGAAAGGTGGGAGGTGGAATGTAGAAAGCCTGTTAAATACTAGGGTATTACAACACATTGTAAGAATGCCAGCGCAGATATTTAAAATGGGTCCTAAATAAGACAATATAGTCATGACTGTCTTTAAATAACAAGGGATCTGGTAAATTTAACATGTACAACATCCCCATTAGCGTTGTCTGTTTATTGGTTGGTTAAATAATTGCCTGTATTAAGTACAACGCTCCAATAAGCTTTGAGAAAGAATGTCCTACCATCTGCCTGTGTGCCTCTGGAAAAAAAAAAGGGGAAAAAAAGAAAGAAAAAAAAGAGAGAACACATAAAATCAAAAGTTATTACTTACAAATGTTATTTCAAGCTGCAAATCTGGGGATTTATCAGAGCAATACTATGATTTGTCTGGAACTATACTCTTTAACGATTCCCATATTAATTCCTGATCAATTTTTCCGTGTGGGGGAAAAAAGTAGAGCCCGAACACAGTGTAAAGACAGAGCAGAAAAGAGGTATGCACGCGAGTCAGGTGTGCCAAAGCTCCACTGTTTAACTGCTGCCTAATTTAGAACTGGTCCTTAACTGGAACGAGTTCTCGATTCCCTTTCCCTAATATTTGTACAGCATTTGTTTTCATTGAGGTTTTATTAGTCAAATAATAAAAAAAATCTGAAAAAAAAAAAAAAAATGTTATTACAACATAGTACGTCTGCCCTCGGCAAGCGGCAGTGACTGACTGTGTAGAAAGATTTTTCCCGTTTATACCCTCTGTTCTTTTGGGACTTATAAAACTCGACCTTTGTCGGGACGGAGAAGATAACAGTTCTGAACTCTGTTAAGACATGTCCAAGGCGACGTCTGCCCTGACTTGGAAAAGCTCAATGTGATTCTGAACAACGGGCTCCAGGCTGAGACCTGTGTCACAGCGTGATCACACAGGTTTACATGCTTTTACTTCCATAAAATAAGATCTTTTTTCACCAAGCACTCACATCCATGCTATTATCTGTGTGTTCTTAGGCCCTTATAACACTTTCAAAAGCCAGACTTGTCAGGAGCAACTTGTCTTGTCTGGTCTTGAAAATAAACTACAAAAATCGCAGCAGAGGTTTGGCTTTCCTGTTTATAGGAAAAAAGGAAGAGATTCAGTCAGAGTGAGCTTGATCTCTCTAGTAAGAATCAGAGCTTAATTCTAAATTTATAGAACTAGAAGGAATTATTATTTAAATGGACCACGTCAAAGCTGCCTTCTGGCTTTAAAGAAAAATTAATTGTATTCTAATATCGTGTCAGTTTCTTCTGAACAAAAAATGCTGACTAACCCTAAAGAAATACATTCTGCTCCTTCTATTCTAAACTCTGTAAGTGTGAAATATCCCTGGACAAAGCTAAATGTGAATCCTTTTTGAAGGAAGATGCTGACAGTCTAGATAAACCTCTGACTGAATTGAGAAAGGCATGAGTTGTTATGGACGAGATCCCCCATGTAATATAGCTATATGGTACGGTAAATGTGTGACAAAACAGCAGTATGAAGTACTGTAGTGTTACAAAGATCCGCCAACATACAGAGCTTGCTTTCCGGATGTAAGAAACACCTCCAATAAGGTCCCAACTTCATCAAATACATTCAACTGTTATGTAATAATCCTTCTGCAATAATGAAACACAAATGATATTAGATCTCAAAGTCTTGTTCCTGCCATCAGGGCTGCCTCTTATGCCACTTCCCTTTTTATTTTATCATTAGTGCCTCTTGTACAAACAGTCTGTCAACACTCGTCTAACACAGACATCAGTAACAGCACTCACTCCGTATCTCTTTATGCGGATGACATTTTGCCGTTTTTCAAGAAGGCTGCTGTTTCAATTCAATGCGTTTCTCTTTTGCTATGTTTACACAATAGTAGTAAAACAGTTATGTTTGCAATCAGCATCTAATTAATGCATGAGTTGCCTTAAGCAGCAGCTAATTACAGATTCAGATTATGTATTCTGTGAGTGTAGGGAGGATCGAAAGGCACCATTTTCTAAGCTTAGAAAAGTAGAGATGTACGTGTGATCCTGAAATAAACATTTTCTTTAAAAAAAAAAAAAAACTTTTTGGGATGTTCCAGTAGCCTGATGATTAAAGCACATACCACATAACCTCAAGCCCATAGTAATGACCATACAGCCACGACTCACTGTCCACATGCACGTGCTTTTTAGAGGCAAGAATTTTCCTATGCAAAACTGGACCACAAATTTTGAATGGCAAACAAACTATTTATCCTGTGCAACACACCAAAGCGGGCTTCTGTTACACCGTCAACTTGGATGCCCTTCCCTCTCAGGGAAAACGACAGAGTCACTCCCCATCTTCTGTCTCAGCCGGAGAAATCATCCTTCAAAAAAATACCTCATGTCTCTTCCTCATCAGTGAATCATATGCCCTCTCAAACATCTTCCTCCTTTTATTGTCCTAATATGCCCTCACTTTACAAAATACCATCTACCAATCACCTTGTAATTTAGGGGCCAAGGTTTTTAGACTTTGCTTTTATGTTGTTTTTTTTTTATATCCAGGATCCCACTCCTTGCAACCTTGGGACTCATCTGAAGTTAGAGCATCAAAAGATACATGCTTTTAAATTGTAAATTAAATATCAAAGCCACTCTGTGAAAATGTTTAAAATGTCCAGCTTTAGCGCACAATCCATGCCTCTACCCGAAACTAAATGTTAGAAATAAAGGGCCCCATGTTTATTGACAGTGTACAATAGTAAATGGATACAATAATCAAACATTTCCAATCACCATTTCCAATATTCTGTTCCAAGATGAAGGAAATGAAATGACCAAGGCTCTTGTTGTAATTCTCTGTGGTTATGCTCACTATAATTATGGGATTGAAAACAGCAAAACCACTTAGTGCATTATAATAGTCCTAATTTCACCCTGATGCTAGAGCTGATTATGTTTTGTTACCCATTCACTTGTGGATGGAAACCAAAGAGAACATTTACTGGACATAAACACTCTTTTGGAAAGGCAGCCGAACCGCTGATAGCTGTGAATGAGGGGAACGGGGATTTGCAGTTTTATCTGCCACTGTTTGGTCACAGAAGTCTGATTTGTCACAAATGAACAAATCCCAGTCTTCTTTGTGTTGTTTTCCAGTGTCTAAAACTGTGCCCCATGAAGGTGATGCCTTAGGGATTACTAATACTACTATTTCTACTACTTCAAAGAGCTAACAGAGATGATACTAAGGTCTATGCACCAGAATTGTTCACCAAACAACTGGAATTGCGTAGTTAATCAGTCTTATTGAAATCACAATATGACAAAGTGCAATATGCAAATCCCAGAAGCTGGAATCTTTTTTTGATAAAAGGTAAACTGTGACAAACAGCATTATAATGAAGTGCTGTTGTTCTGGAGAGATGCCCTGGCCTACAAATCTTGTAATCCAGATTTAATCAAACATGTTTGTTTGGTCCAGACCCCCAACAAATTTCACAGCATTGTGATTTTTAATCGTTTTTTTTTAAAGAGAAAATTTAATTTGTGATGCAAAAAGTGTAAATTGCACATTAAATTTTTAACAATTAAGCGGAGATGTCGTCATAACTGATAATCAAAATTCAAAACTAAAAAAAGAAAATGAGATTCAGGTTGAAAAATAAAATGATTATTTAGAAAACATTTGGTTAAGGAGTGGCATATTGAATAGTCACTTAACTTATGATTTTCTAAATAGCCTTTATATGACATACTGTACCATTAATCTTTTTTTTTTATGTAAGTAACCGTACCAACTCTCCAAGTTTTAGTTTCTTTCACTATCTGTAAGACGGGCTGGGTAATGACGAACCATTTGCCTTCCATTTGTGATAATCAAATCAAAGTGATTCCAATTACTATATCAAAAGGGTAAAGCTCACAATGTAATAATGATCAAAGACACAAGAAAGCTGTTGAACTCATCGCTTGCTTACATTATCTCGTGACTCTACCTAATGCAATCATCTCTCACTGAACGCTAAGGTTGCTTCACACACACACACAATATAAGTTTGACTGGTTTACTATGGTAAATGTGCTTTAACCTTTAAACCAGAATGCATTCTTTGGGTTATCTTTCAACACCGCAGTACAGCGATAACACACTCAGTCTTGTGCAAAAGTAACGGGTTATGCAATAACTCAGTCAGCGTTGCACCAATTGTAAGACTGTTCAAGGGGAATGAAATGGCCTTGGTTGGATTCTTTTTATGGCCAATTTTCAAAGCCTGTCCTCTAGTTTATTTAATTATCAGTCTCTAGATAAGTTTTATTTGTACTTAAAGGGAATAACAACCTTTAGGCTGATCAGTTACCAGCATAGATTCAATACAATCTTGCTGCTCACAGATAAAAGGTGAACCTGACCTGTTATCCCTTCAAATATTGTGCCAACAAACAAAGATAACAGTTCTGAAGCTAATTCAGATGCTACAGGTCAGAGGGCTGTTAAAGGCAGGGACGTGGTCACAGGATCGGATTCATTCATTCAGAAAGGCAAGGACAAGAAAATGAGTAGTTTAAACTGTGTCGGCTTTAAAAGGTCTGAGTGACAACATTACTGCTTAGTCAAACCGACAGCAACACTAGTAGTCTCCCACTGATGTTAAAAGCCATTACACGGTACGGAACCTGAGCTCAAGCGATTGTGAGAGAGAAAACTAAGCCTCTCTGTCCTTTATCTGTTGTCATGAGATCCTACCTGATAATTAAACTGGGAGCCGAAGCCAAAAGTAGCCATTCACACGGGTGACAGGACAACTCGCTGTCTGTCAGTAGACATAAACACTAACAATAAATAGAGAACCAGCAAGAGTGTTTCAGGAAATTCAAGCACGGCATTATTGCTAACTCCAGTTCTATGGATGCCTTTGACTGTGGAGGCCTGTTCTGGCTCAACATAGTTTACAGTGTTACATTCAAGCCCCCTAAGTCAGCTGGGAAGCAGGCAGTCAACCCCAGAATCCAGGCCTTTGTGTACCCGTCTGACAGCAAATGTCTGTGACTGCTCTGTCCTTGATGAATCACAGAGCCTTTTCTGCCAGAGAGCTGGTGTGTAAATTGTGCATCCAAAACTCTTTTCACTCACTGTGCCAGGTCTGACCCTGATTCAGTCGCTTTGACACAGGTCAACAGGTCCAGATAACCTTTGAGTTGACAGAATGGTACACTGGTGTAACACGACACCCCCAGCATGGCTAACGTGACTGTGAAACAGTTATTCCCAGAGCAGCCAGGCAGTGAGGTGTACTGTTATAACTGACAGGACTGCTGTCGGATCGAGGCCAAGTGAGGTTGCATTGAGGATGGGCCACATACCTATTCAGTAACCCAACTCTAATCAGGAGGAAACTTGCCATCTGGCGTCGGTCTCTTCGGGGTAATTACTGGAATGCAGTCAGTTGTGTCCAGCAATCCATCGTTACCATCAACCACAACATAAAATCGCCCCGCTACAAAGTGGACGCAGACACTAAAGGTGTACTATATTTATACCCAGACAGGTATCAGTTGACCCGGTCAGTGTGTGTCCACTATAAAATAACATATTTCCTCCAGAGGTAAGGACAAGCGGTCGTTCCTACAGAACACACCTTTAGAGAGTTGTTGTAGTTGTTGATGGTGGTGCTGTGTTAGACCGCATTACAGCGGAAGGTGTTTGTAATATTCAGTCCAACATATATGTTAGATAGATAGATATATTTATTGATCCCAAGCTGGGAAATAAAGTATATCTATCTAACATATATGTTAATATAAGTGGACAAGATGCGAGAAACAACCTCAGTCATACACTTTTAACAAGAACTACACATTGAGCTACATAAAGATAGGATTTATTGCACTGTGCACACGTTAAACCTTTTAAAAAGACACACTGACAACTCGGTGGACATTCATGGATGTTCATATAAGCAGCTCTGATACTATAGCCAGCAATACAATGCCAGCCTTGTGAGACTTTCACTTGCTCCCCTCATGTTACACTAATGTCAGACACTGGACTGGAGGGAGAGGAAGTTAGCTGCTGACATTCTTGCAGAGAATATAACCGGGATAATTACCGTTATCAGAGGCTGCCATTGTTTCACCCACAGCGAGAACAGTCACAAACATTAGGTTCATGTTAACACTGTTGTGGTTTCAGCGCACAGTTAAACACGTCCCAACCAGGAGGGGAGCTAATGTTAGCATATGTGTGATTAAAAATGCAGCATGTATTTATTCCTCATTTGTTTTCGGTTTAAAAAAAAATAAATAAATAAAATTTCCGACACATTTAGTAGACTAATATAAGAAGCTCCCGTAAGTGCAGGCTGTGTTAACGTAACCCTTCGCCGAAATGAGACCGGTAACGTTTTGTAACCTGAATGTTTTACCATCAACAGCGGCTGCCTGCTAGCCCCAGCCAGTTAGCATGCTAACGCTGGTTAGCTGTCAGAGCGACATTTATTATGCAAACAAAAAAAACTCACCTCATGTTCTCCACGTCCCTGCCTCCGCTTTTCAGTATGCACAGGGGGATCGTAACGAGGGCCAAGCACATCATCCAGGCGACGTAGAAGAACTTTTTGAAATAAAAAACAAACGTGCTGCTGGTCCACATCAGGAGTGGGAACAGCAGCAGCGGTATCATCCATAGCACATCCATAGCGATTCCAGCCACAGAAGAAACTCACTGGCTGCTATATAACACACGCGGTTTTGTCTTCTTTTTTTTTTTGATGCGGGAGCCGCTTAAAAACGGCAAAAGCTGCTACGGTGCGAGGCAGAAGGGAAGCACCGCGACCCTGGCAGGCATTACACAGTGTGGGTGGGATCCTTTCGGGGCACTCTGGCGATGGCAATGCGTTGCTCTGGCTGCCCAAAATGAACATACAACGTTGCTCATCTGTTGCTAAATGGCATCATGAGGTGGAGTCGAGTCGTCATCGAGTTGTTTTTTCTGTTTCCGGTTGCGGGACTACCGTGGGTCTGATGTCACAAGCAACCCACTAAACAGTTCTGTCAGTGCATGTTTATTTTACATCCTGTATGAGATTCAGTTAAATACGTATTAACTGTCAGCATTAGTTTTAATCTTTTTTTTTCTTTTTTTTTTAAATCCACAATCAGAGCTCTTGTTTTTTATGGCCAGCACATCCAGATTTCAGTGTGCTTTAATAGGCCCTATGTGGATTCACTCTCTCCACAGGGTGATCTTAGAATGAGACCAGTTTGACAGCCGATTGCGAAGCAACATGTGTAATTGGATTAACAGTGATAATCCAGTCCTTGGCTATAATCTGACACTGTCCTGTAGCCTTGACTATGAAGTTGCAGCCATGTCAGAGAGCTCTACTTGACATGATTTGGAAGATTAGGTAGAATCAGTCATTAATCCTGATTTAATATGCCTCTAAACTTGGCCTCAGTCTACTCATTCAGAAGCAGGAATGAGACGGTCTAATTTGCACTTTATGCAAAGGGCAATGTTCAGTGAGTGTGAGGTTATCAAACCTGTGTGCTAAAGAAAGCTCATAACAGGGCTAGATAACACATATTATCTAGCTTTTCTTGATTAATGCAATTAATACAGAAAGGTGGACAGATCCAAGATTACAGTGATAGCAATGGGAGAAAATATGAACATGAGGCTTTTCTTAGCACCAGTGCTGCACCATTGTATACATGAGACTGATATTATGCTTTTGTGTGTCTATGTGATCTAATTTAATTGCAGATTTAACTAGAGATTCAAGATGTATGGTTGCGGGTGGGGGTATTTAACCCTGGTGGTCTTAATTCAGCACTGTTAATTCTATGCTGTTGTGATTTATTAATTAAAAATAAAATTTACTGGTGCACTTATGAATGATTGTAAGATATGTAGTAAAACTATATTTCCTTCTGTTTAAAATATTTTTTTATTCAAGTTAAAGGTTGCAGCAGTGGTAGCTAATTCATAACTGGGCTCTTATTGCAGATATGCAATAACCTTTCCGCAGAAGTCAAACCTTTATGTCATAACAGCCTTTAATGGGGTTTAGCTTCAAGTTGCATCGACTTCAAGACCAATAAAACCTGTCCAGGACAAACTGTCCTCCTTTAATCAGGAATAGTTCAACATCAAGTTGGGAAAGTTTGCCTTAGAACTAGTATGGCACAATGGTGTCTAAGGTTGAGTTTAAGTCAACAAACTGAAGTCATGGGTGTTTGAAATATTTAGCACAGCCCAGTTCAGTATTTACTGGCCTGATACACTATAAGAGAGGCTGGTACCAAGTATACAGATATCTGCTCTCATTTATATAAAAGGCAAAATATATGTTTTGTAATTAGGTTCAGTTTACTTCAGCTCCCTCCTCCGGGAGCATATGACCCATGACTCGTCGTCGACAGTGCTGTGTAATCTTTTTCCATCTCTCTCCAAACAGTGACTTTTGTGGGTGGCACGCTGTCAGACATAGCAATTTCCTAAACTTTTAGCCGACTAAAGTGTACTTTTGAATAAAACAAATGCAAATGGCATGTTTATGGGTTCTGCAGTCTACAAAAGCTGAGGGCTGTTGCTGGGGAGTTGGAAGATGTCGTGCAGGTAGAAGCAAGCAGGGCCGCTATTACAAGAACAGTGTTTGCTGGTATTGGACAACCTTGAAATGCCTTCTTTTATAGCCACTAACAACCAAAATGAATTGTGTACACCTTAAAAAATAACATTTTTGCTTGGGTCATATTGGAGGCCCACTGACACTGGGCTTTCAGGCCACATTTGTATTACTTGCAACTTATTGTCAGAACTAATACCAAACCTCTCTTTGCTTTGTTGAAGAGGGTAAAAGTACATGGTAGAGCTGCTGTTCTGCTGCTTTGCCAAGGAAAACAACATGGTTTCACACATTCTCTTGTTGATATCAAGTGCAGCCTGACACAAATGACCGTGCCCGATTATGCAGGTACACAGTTAGCACCCATTTGCTTTGGAGAGATGTACTGTTTACTTAGCAACTCAAGTGTCACGACAGGATGTGATGCATGGAAAAAAGGAATAGACACATCATACATACAGTGCACCGAGTTCTAACAACCAATGCCGGAGATCTTCTATTGTTTGCATAAGTGTGTTATTGTTTGACATGTGGGTGTGTTTTCAATAATTACAGTATGTGTGGCTGTGGTATATGAATGTGTTTGCAAATTTAGAGAATAATGCACCCACTTGGTCTATTGTGTATATTTTTATGGAATTTTTAGAGTGACTCACAAAAAGGCATGAGGGCCAAACTGTAATATTACAGAAATACATCCACCTGGTGATGTAGCAACAAATACAGCTATCAGATTTAGAGAAAATCTGATCCAAGTTGCCATTTCCTTTTCTTTTATTATCCCACCACAAATGCAATCAGCTGTCACACTGTTTCATTTCTGCTTATTAGGAGCAAAACCACTACTAGCAAAAAACTGAAAGCTATTCAGGGAAAGTCTGCAGACAATATTAAGAGGACACATTAGAGATGACTGCAAACTTTACATTTGTGATGTTATCAAGTGATTACGTCTGTCTTCACCACTCATGAGTCATTATCAGACAGCTTTGGGTTCCCATTAATGAAGTGTACATGTACAGTTCATCTGGTACAACTGAAATCCCATTCCTCTCAGCTGCACATCCTCATCAAACCAATGTAGACCAAAGATTTTCCTGCAAGGCCGTGTAGGAATAAGCAACCTGAATTTAGCTAATTGAAAGAGGAACAGCTCTGCATCCTGGCCCTGACTCACTTCACACTTCTGAAGCCCCATGAAGCTTCGAGGTGAGAGGTAGCAGTGAGGTTACAGTGCTTATTGGGAAACTGGCAATGTGGATTTGAACCCCTATTGGGTGAAAGGATCCACATCTTGAACGGGAGACTGAGAAATTGCAGTCACAAGCATAGAAACCTAACCCTAGTGCAATTTGAGTGCTCTGCAGCCTGTAATTCCCCTGTGGGAAACTACTAAGAAACCTTGAGAAAAGTGACTAAGAGAAACTGAGGTTCAGTCGTTAACATCACGTTGAAACACAAGAGGGTTCACAAATGTACATGATATCAGAGAGGTTGGGGCCAGCGGATGATGTGGAATTTGGAGCTGTTTTATCAGACCTGTGCACTTGGATGAAAAAAGACCCTGAGCTGTGATCACCATCTGGTGATGTGTTAGATCAGAGGAGAAGCGGAAACTCATGATCTCATCTGGTGAAAGCTGCTGATAAGACCGAAAGGCTGCACTTAGATCTCAGAAGTCCCTGCTCGTCCTACAATGAGAGGAGCCAGTCAAAGTTTTTATTTTTGATATTTGGAAAGGATTGAATGCATTAATATTTCTAGGGCTTTAATCTAAAAAAAAAAAAAAAAAACTTTTGAAAAAGGGTTTCTGTACCCAGACTGTTGTCAGTGAAGGTCCTTGGGCGCCCCCTGTTGGACAACCTGCTATCAAATCAAATATTTTTTTACTCTTTATTATCCAACATCCAAATGTAAAAAAAAAAGTCCCCGTCCACTTAAAAATATGTTTAAGCTTCACTTTGCAGAATGATTTATGTGCAGAGTTTGAAACTGGAAGGATGTTTTTACATTCATCATGCTCATTGAAAATCCTACTGCCATGATTTGTGACATCCCGGTCCAGTATGCAACTGACTCCACCAGTGCGCATACCCTGAAAATGGACTTTACAGTGAAGTATAGGAGACATCTTGGTTCCAAGCAGGCGAACACTTGCAAGAAATGAACAAAATTTGCATCTTCTTCTTGTAATCTTTCTAATAAGGTAACATGCAAAGGCCGCCTTTTTAAGCCCGCTTTTTACAAATAATGTTTTTTTTGTGAACCAACTTATCAACGACACACATATTGTTTTTATACAACATTTTATATCTCTGCCACCACCGTCCAATAAAATCTTCAACTTAACATGCGCACGATGAGTTAAGCGTACAAGGCGCCTTATGTGCAGCGGGGGACGAGGAACGATTTTCTGTACCCCTTGCCTTAGAGCAGCCGGGGTTGAACTCGTCTGTTCGGTGATACTGCTCTTTCATGCTGTCGCACGTATTTTGTGGAGGGGCGTGGGAGGGATTGTCCCCATGATTCAGCCAGCAGTTTGCCAAAGCATCCCGACTGTCTCACCACCTCCTCCCAGGGCGTGCCACAAGGCTTAAGAGGGCACACCAACAGAGCCTCCGGGCCAGAGCCAACAACAGACTCGGCCTTCCTGATGAGTTTGTTCATACAATCAACCAATACTTGACAGCAAATTCAAAGTTCTAAATTGTTAAATTGTTAATGTTCAATAACACAATAATAAAACATGCATTTAAAACTTAAAATTAAAACCCTAAATTGTATACACCTGCAGTGTATATCATCCAATCACAAAAAAAACACAAAAAATATCAATACGGATGAACTCCTGAATTTGTCATTTCATAGCTGATTATAGACCTTTATCACAGCGAACATTTTCACTTATCAAAGTAGGAAAAGCACAGGTGTAACCAATCAAAGTGTCTCAGTTATTCAGGGCCATGGATCTGGCACACCTGAAAAGAACATCCACGTAATTAATGCTGTTTATTGCACCTGTGTTAGACAAGTAAAACATTCAGTTACAGTTGAAATTCACTGAAAGGCCTTTGCATGCCTTTCTTTCCTCTGCAGTTAGTGAGTGGGCCTCCAGTGGTGTCGCTCCATTTTGTAAACATTTCCAACACTAGATGGTAGTGTTGTTGCAGCAATACTGGCCATAGCGTCAACAATGAATCAACCACTTCATCATTTCCAGCGTAACACAAGAGAATTATTATCATAAAACTGAATATTCATGTAAAGATTCACACAATTAATCACAATGATCATGATAATGATGCTGATACAGTGAATGTGTTGTCTGAGAGAGATGTATAATCAGAATAAATTGCAGTAGGCTATATTGACTGACTTTATTTGTCACAAAAATAAGATTTTATGTCTTTTTATAACAACCCTTAACAGTTAATAGGATTATTGGTTTCTTTAATTTTGTTATTTACCTATTTACGTCTATTTTTGAGCATCTCTGTAAAGCATTTGTCAGAAGTTTTTAAATGTCTTCTATACAAAAATTTTAAACGTAATTTCATCTTAATTTTCTGTTATTTAACTAGGTAAAAGTTTCTTTGAGATATAAATCTCATTTTCAAGAGAATCCATGGTCTACAGGGAAGCTTAGAAACACTGTTACAACAATAAATACAAACAACATAAACAGATTATGACAACTGTCACACACTGCAAAAGAGAATGTCAGGAAAGAAACACCATCACTAGGAACAAGATGGAGCAACTATAAGACAGTAGGGAGCAGGGATTGTTGTTGATTGTTAATCGTGAGGATGATGGGTGCCTCAAATGTATCCACTAGCTGTCCATATAGATTTATAGCAGAGGTCATAATTATGTTAACAGTGGACTGCAGACAAAGGTCACCAGTTGGGGCTCAGAGTTTTGAATAAAAGCTTGTGCAACGGACAGAAATGCAGATAGCAGTCTGCATTTCTCTCCCTCCGATGTTCTCCTTTTTATGAAGCTACATGACATTTTGAAGCTGCCCTGATTCTTGTTGCATCAGAGTTTCTTAACTCTGCACCTTCAGTGCGCACCCCTGTGCCAAGTGGAAGCTTGTGGCCATTGTGCTGTAAGTGTAAAATCTAGGGTGTTGTCCAAGGTATGCATGATTACTTCAGGTCTTATCAGAGGGAGAAAGGCAAAGGCAGAAAGGGAAAGTGGTGTGGGTTAGTGTTAAACCCTCTGGGGGTATTCAATGAAACATCTGCCATGGGTGGTGACCTTTTTGAACCCCCCCAGTCAACCCCTCCCACCACCACGTTCCCTCTGCATTCATCCGCATGTTCAAAACGATTCTTCTCATCAGTTCAAAGGCTACAACGAGCGGTAGTGAGCGAGCACCGATATTTATAAAAGGCTTTACGGACAACCCTGCAGGGACACCCCCCGCCAACCCCCCACCAACCTTTTTTTTTTTTTTTGCGTGTGCGCGCGCAGGAGCAGCTGTCATTGGGTGCCCGCGCGCTGCATATAGCGAGACTATCCTGTTTGAAGATTATGCTGCAGCTCCTGGCCATCTTGTATCAGACAGGATGAGACGTTGAAAAAAAAAAACCCCCACGAGTGATAGGAGTCCACTCATTCCTTCAGCATACGGTCGTTGACGGGCGACTACTACAAAGGCTTTAAAAAAAAAAAATTTAAAAATATCACATCTGCTGCTGAAAACACCTCATACGAGTTGTGGATTATTCCGAGGACATCGTACTGAAACCATGAGCTGGGGGTCAGAGCTATGGGTGAGTCTCGGTGCACTTGTATCGTGTGCTGTCGTTATTATTTTATTCTTTCACGGAGCCTTTGTGGACATAACGGTTCTCACATTAGATAAACGTGCGTGTGACAAGACGCGGCATGGCTCCGCGTTTCCCGTTAAAACGACGTTTCGTGTGCGCTGCTTTGCGGCCGTTCAGCCTCTGTGACGCTAGTTAACGCAATTTGTAGCGCTAATCACTGAAGCTTATCTTTGTTGCGCTAACATGTCGCCTCAGTATCAGAGTAACGTGAATGCGTGTTAGCCAGTCGGCAAGGAGGCTATTGGTGATGATAGGGGGGCCAGCTAGCCATCCATTTTACTTTACATTCTGAGCGTTTTGAACCACGCTTTGCACACACACACACACACCCCCTCGCAGTGTTGCGTGAGGCTGCGTGTTCAGGTGGCAGTGGCACTTTTCTGTTTCGTAACGTTTTCATAAACGTGTAACAACAAGCAGGTGAATCTGGGTGCATTTCACACGCTGTAATGTCACGTTCAGGAGAGGAAGGAGTTTATCTGCATACAAAATGGTACTGAAGCACTGCTGTTTGATCACAAGCAGGGCTCAAGAGTGCCTGGGTCACTCATTGAGACGGTTACTAACTGCATACACATCCTGCTAAATCGCATGAGGCACACATTTTGTACACTTTTTTTTATTAGCACCCTAAATCCGGGGTGACATAAACTATTTGCATCTACAAACGGAAACGTCTAGCAGGTTCTTCTTGGGTTTGACCACAACTTGCATTTCATTTGACCGAGTAACCAGACCCTCTACAGTTTTATCCTCCACATTTGTCACAGAATCGGGGGTGGGTATGTGCAGGAGAGGGGGGGTAGGATGACCTAATATCCTAATAATGTTTGATTGGGTTCATCACTCCTTGTGAACAACAACAAAAGACAAAGTAGAAGCCCAGTGAGCTTACTACTACAGATTCCTGTGCAATGATTTAATCCCACTTAAATTCACTTTTAAGAAGTGAATCTGGTAGTAGCCCTTATCAAGCCAACTACTGTATCTGTGGTATTTCCCCATATTCAGACTCACAGATGTCCACAGATTTAGGGCAGTGTGCTGTTTACTACAGAATGGGAATAATAAAGATTACAGGATCGTGTCAAACTATTTTTATGAGTTGATAATAAGCAGTCGTGGCAGGAGGAATTCCTGTTGTCTGGGTTTTGTTTCAGTGGCTCGTGTTGTTATTTTGCTGTGGAAATGATCCACTGGAACTACAGTCATTCTGCTGTCTGTGTGCTGGCCTGTTGTTACAGGATTGGCTGCCTGTTTAGCATGAATGTGGAATGTTTTCAGTACACGCGTGCTTGTGTGTGTGCAGAGATGCACGAGTGTGTGTGTATGCTTGCAAGTTACTACATTGAGTTTCCATTTGAACCCGCGAGAAGGGTCACATTTTGTTGTCTTAAACTCATGTTGCATCCCATATGACAACAATAACCTTTTTTTTTTACACGGGTTGTTAAATTTAATGCTTTTTTTTGGTGCTAATTCTGCACCTGATCACAATACTTGCAGTGTGGAGCACTTTTTTTTTTCTCTCTGATAAAACTGCAGTTTTAGCAAGGTCAGTATTATGTTCTCGCCTACCAAGCAGCAAAGGGGCCTGGAGATAGTTAAATCAGGGATGTGTTTTCCTTTCTAAGAAGAAAAGGAAGGGGGGCACTCCTCTGAATTCTCCAGTAATTTACCTGGCCCAAAGTTCACAGACAAAAAGTGCGTTTTCCCAGTGATGTCAGTGAGTTTCTGCTTTACTACTGCGACGCTTGACCGAGAAACGCTGCTGCCCAGGTAGTCAAGCAAAGCGAACACAGCCTGAAGGTACTCTACAAGCTTTCATGAGTACCTTAAGTCTGGAAAACATTTGAACCTTTTTTAAACAAGAGTCTGAGCTTTTGCAGAGAATAACATATTACAACCAGATGCTTGCTTTTTTTTTTCCTTCCCCTTAGCGGGCTGAATGGAATCCAGACACTTGTTCCTTTAATCTTAGTCCCTCCAATGGGGCAGGAGACAGAGCACCACTCTACAGGTGGCTGCTGCCACTGGAGAATGCACGCGGCTGATTTTCTTGTTGTCCCAAACCAGATCAAACAGCGAAACATACGGTAACACAGGCGCTGTTGCTAAGGCAGCACCTACACTTTTATGTAGAGCAAAGGCAGGATGTTGTGTGCTTTGGCTTCTTGTTTTTCATCTGTGTCATATTCAAATGTGTCGTTGAATGACGAGCTATTAATGAATCAGTGGTAATCCTAATCCTAAATTACCTGCCATATCTGATTAGTCAAAGTAAAATTAAAGTGATTACCAGCTATTCTGGAGTCCTGTAATGTTACTTTTTGATCCAGTACTTTGGACATCAAATGGATTCTTTTGGGTGTTTTTAGTCCCTGTCTTTTAGTTTATTTAGCATAAAACAAACTGATGGTGCAACACGACAGACGAAGGATGAGGCACCGCACGCACCACACGTCTTATCATGTTCATCCTGTTGTCCCTCGCCGCGAACAGGAAAGCGAGTGACACTTCAGGAAATGAAGTCACAGTCGATTTCTCAACCTCACGAACAGAACAAGTACCGAATCAAGTTATAGTGATCACGCTGTTTACTTGATTTGAAATTGTGTCGAGCAGTTCATGGCTGTTGTCTTAGGCTTCGTGAGTCACCGCAGTCAGTCGATGGACTCTAGACTGAAATGTGGAATGCCTTTGGTGCAACATCATAGCACTGATTATAGTCTTCACCATCCACTTCAAGACAGACTCTGGGAATGTTTGCTGCAATGAAAACTAGGACCATCACTGGCCTGTCCCTGTAACAGTATCAACAGGGAGCCAGCCCATCGACCTGCAGGGTTTTAAACCTCACATACTGAATGTGCTGAAAGATGGTAAAGTGTGGGTCAGATCTTTAGGAAATAGCCGTTTCCTTTTTGTGCAAGCAGAGGATGACGTAAATGGATCAGTACGCATGCACTGCAACCCTTCCAAAAGAGGCAAAACGTGTGCAAACGCAGCCAAGGGAGAAGGAAGTCAAATGTGGTGAAACATGTGACTTTTTCTTAGCGGAACAGGAGGTCAGAAAAAAAAAAGACAGAAATCTTAAGTGACTATTTTCTAACTAAATGTAGAAGCATGACACTGTAAATAACCGTTCTAAATCAAGTTCGCCGTGTTCGTCGAGAGTTCGAAGAAAGGGCGACCGCAGCGTCTTCGTGTTTCCTCTTGGGGGCTCGGGTGTTAAAGCTGGTACTTAAGGTAGCAGAGGTGCCACTAACCAGGCCAAATGCATGTCGTCTAGGCGGATCAAACACACCAGTGGTTGTACCACACACGAAACACTCGGAGAGACTACATATCAGCTCATTGTGTGGTAGCTCACAATGAAAAAAGAAGTCGAATCGTGTCCGCTGCCTCGACTTGTGAAAAGCTGTACCTTTCCACTATGACACACCTAGAACGTTTCACTTCTCTCCTGTGGTCGATTTGGGAACTGGATGTGAAGCACTTTTCTCACAGGAGTTCACTATCTCCATAGTCCGTACATGTAGTATAAATATCTTTTCCCGTCACGACTTACTGATGAGGCAACATGGACAAGGCTGAAACTCTACTCAAAGAGCAGCAGCTTAAGGTGAGTTGACCTGCACAGGGCTCATCGTCATTGCGTTTAGACTAGATGGCAAATTGGCCCCGTGGGTGGTCCCCTGACTGAATGCTGGTTCGCCACTTACACTGTTCAGATGGCGCGTGGCTTTGATTGTTCAGTCGAGGTGTGAATATCTGTAGCTGTCCTGCTAGAGGGGACCGCTCGGGACGGAAAAGCCTTTTTAATTGTAGGCCTGTCTGTTGGCCACCGCGCCCAGTTTAATTGAGACAGGACAGCGGTACTGTCTGGAGGGGTTCACTCGTTCTCCCTCTTGTTGTCAAGTGGTGCTCCAGACTTTGCCAGGGGGGGCAGGGGTAGGTTCGATCACAACCTCACGCTCTTGTTTTTGTGGATTTCGGTCATGCAGTCAGAGCAGTGAGATGGCAGGGCTGGTCTCCTGCTGTTGTTACTTTGAGATGTCCTCAGTGTTTTCTGCTGTCCGACTCCCCCAGGGTCCGGCCTCACCCCCCGCTGTTCACTTGACATTCGAGACACTTCCAGGCTCGACACTTGAGCTCGTTTGTTTCCTTCTGTCAGTGTGCTGGAGTCGGGGGGGGGGAATCAGAGACTGAAACCTTGACTGAAAATCCTGGCAACCCCCCCCCCCCCCCATTAAATCTTACACTCATTGCCACCCACCTGCTGACTCAGTGATAGCAGCTCGAGCCCATTTTCTCCTCACCTCTTTCTTTGAACCCCCATGACGGTAAAGTAGTGATGAATGGATCTACGTCTGATCTGTAGGCCCCGGAGTGCACCCCGGGGAGTGAGAAGCAGAAAGAAAGGAGGCCGAGGGGGGGGGGCATTCACACAGAGTAGGTTCACATTGACATATGTCAGACATGCAGATGAGTAACAATAAACGGGCATTTCTATTTTGTTTGATCCTTTGTGTATAAAGACAACACATCTATCATATAATGGGAATGTTAGACTTCCTCTACCTTTCATTTAGGCTGCTTTGACAGTTTGGTATGTACCTGTTTGTTTTCAGATGTGGGCATTATCTGCTTTTTCTCCTCTGTAACATTAGAGTAAATGGAATATCTTTAGGTTTCTGACTGCCGCTGTGTGTGTTTTGTGTTGACCACAGGCATTGTCCTTCTGCTTCCTCAGATCTGAACAGCTGAGGTCTAAGCTATTTTGTCATCTTGTTCATGAAAAAGGTGACTCAATCCTCCCCACCCCAAACTACTGCAGCCTCTAATCTTTAGTCACCATCTCTTCTGTTATTCGTATAGCCAGCCTCTAATCACTGCTGTGACATATTATCACATCACATTCCATGTTCTCCTAACTACTG